CTTCTGTGTCTGTGTTAATTGGTTTCCCTTTTCTTTGTTGAAGAGGGTCTGTGCAATCCTTCTGCCTAGTCCGCCATCTTGCCCCACCTCCTCACCTTATTTCTTTACTTTATTTTCTTTCCATCACAGGTGAAGACTCCCAAACCAAAGTGCCCTCTGCACGGATCAGCTGTCCTCGAGGATCCAAATCTTATGGCTCCTCCTTCTATGCCTTCTTTCTGACGCCAAACAATTGGGTGGAGGCAGACGTATGTAGTGTGATATGGGGACAGACATCACAGGGGTAATTACACAGAAGACCAGATTGGAGAGTGGGAGGCCTCCACTCTCCAGTGTGGTTTGGTGGTGTGTGCACCTATGTTTCTTTCACACCACCCTTCTCATCTAACCATCTCCCCAGTGAAGTTTAAGCTCCCCATCTGTTTCTCCTTCCCCACACAGATGGCCTGCCAGAAGAGATCCTCAGGACATCTCGTGTCTGTGCTCAGTGCCACTGAGGGATCCTTCGTGGCCTCTCTGGTGAAGAGCACTTGAAACTCCTATTCAAATATCTGGATTGGGCTCCATGATCCCACATTGGTGCGACTGCATTTTCTCTTCTCTCTTATCTCTCAAGTGGCTATTGCACCAGCCTCAGACTCTGTTCTTTGTGTTTGCCCAAGAAGTGTCCCATGGAGCTCAGAGATCCTGGGGAATATTTTAGGAAAAAGCAAGGCCTTGAGACCAGCTGAAGAGCTGAGTTAGGTTGAGTTTCTGTTCCGGACCTGAAACTAATGTGCCTCTTTAATACTTTACACACAATTCTCATATGAAGCCTTGTCATTCAGTTCTTTCAGCTCAGAGGTCTTAACATACTGTACCAAGAAAAGCCTACATGAAGAAAGGATCTATTTTTTTGCTCCTATAGTACAGATATTGTCAGTCAGAAGCTAATCACAAATGTATCACGGAATATTATTTGGCAAGTAATATGCAACTTTAAGTTATTCCATTGGCTTTGGGTTTAGAATTTGCCAGAAGGACAACTTCGAGAAGAAATAGTCCTAGGGAAGCACCTGGAAAAGCAGACCAAATTGCATGATGCTAGAGAGAATATCAGGCATTCCAGCTAAGGTGGTTATGCAAGGATTGTATAGAACATTCCTCTAACTTGGCCCCTTCCTTTACTCTATAAAGGGTGTTGAAGTCAATTCAGGTGGTTGGGAGTGGAGTAACTCTGACTTGATGAATTACTTTGCCTGGGAAAAAGACCCCTCCCTGGTTACCAACCCTGGCTACTGTGGGAGCCTATCCAGAAGCACAGGTAAGAAAGAATAGGGCCACTTATTCCCTTCCTCTATCCCCTTATAACCTTTCAGGAATGTCCATGTTGGAAAATTCAGTATTGGAAAATACAATGTTTCTTTTTCTTCCTTTCTTGTATCTTTCCATTTGTGTGTGTGTGTGTGTGTGTGTGTGTGTCTTAACTGAGTGGAACACTGGGGAAAATGAGGGAGGGGCTTTGAATCTTAGACCAGAATATCGTCTGTCTTCCCCTTGGATTCACAATCTCTACCAGTCCCATCCACCTTACCTCTCTATCTCTCCAGGATTCCTGAGATGGAAAGATTTTAACTGTGAACAGAAGTTACCCTATGTCTGCAAGTTCAAGGACTAGGAGAGTGAAAATTTACACCTGGAGCTGATTGATCGTCATGAATTTGAGATCTAGTGTGAAGAACCACCCAGGAAGAAAATATCTACCCCCCCCACCCTCTCAAACTGACCTTCTCATTCTAATCCTCCCTTCTCTTTCCTACTCTTCACCCACATTCCAGGCTTTTCTGTCTGTACCATGGCCTGAGTTCTCAGAGAGAAATAATAAAACTTTATTCTGCACGAGTGTGTTCCAGTCTCATAGCCACATTCTGAGGAAGAGAAAGTGAGTGGGAGAGTGAACACTGAATTTTGTCTTTATCTATTTTCTGTCAGTCCTTGGGGAAATGATGGAATATAAATTTTCTCCTGTGCATTTGTGATAAGATATGGGCCCTGCACCTGGAAGATTTGGGTTGTGGATAGATATTACTCTCCTACACACTCTACAAACTTCCCCCAACCCAGGTCTGATGGCACAGATGATTTACCCAATAAGCAAGGTAAGCTCAGGCTTACTTGTGCTTAGTTAGTAATTTGTACTGAAAAAATTCAAATTTTTCTCCACATCAAAGAGTCTGCTTCTAGATATGACTGGTATTAGTCTCCCTCCCAACCCCACAGCACCTTCTGACAGAATCATAGCCTCTTTTCAAATTTACAAACCCTGACAGGGATGTAGTATCCAGTAAGGAAGGTAAGTATGGGTTCACTGTACTTTCGAATCTGTAGTGAAGAGTTTCACATGCATAATTGTTCACTATAGATTAATAAGTAAGCACAAGCTAGCCAGGGCTTACCTTGTCTATTGGGCAATTCCTCCCTGTTTGATGGTGTGACACAACTTACCTTAGGAGGCTCTGATGGTATTTAGAACAGTATTTCTCAAACTTATCTGGAGTGTAGTATTACTTCTTTTTAAATTTAATCATGGTTTAATAGCTGCAAAATTTAATAAAAATGAAGTATAAAACAAATAATCAAAATGCAAGCTCAATTTTTAAAATTAGCTTCAACAGACATAAATTTAATCCATGAAATGGCTATAATTTTTTTTTTATATATATCTTTCAGTTTCTATACTTACCTCTCCACAATTGATTAGCAAATTATTTGGATACACCACCAGTCCATTGCACTATATGTTCCTCTGGACCTAAAGGGTACTTGCAAGAAAGAGCCCTAATACATCCTCTTTCTTTGGACCTTGAAACATATTCTGGCTTCAGTCATGACTGGAGTTGAAATGATATTAATGACTGGTGTGATTTCTATTAATATATTTGAATTAATTTTAAAAAAATATAATAAATCATGCATTTTTGAAGAGGCTTCCCTTATCTGAGTGAAAGGAAGAAAGACAATTACTGTCAATCTGTGTTATTCATATAAATTTAATGCATATTTATGTATTATTCATATATATATTAATCTGGCTATTTTAAAACTTTCTATCTCATCACCACCTGTACCTAGACACACATTTCTATTGTAGAAAAGAAAAATACACTAGACAAAAAAGAGTTGAGAGCTGTTTCCCACAACCAGAGAAGAGCTTGTTACTTGAGACGATGGACATTGTAATACATGCAGACCAGGATCACCATATCATTGTCCTTTAGGGGAATTTCTTCTCAAATAAATAAGACATGAATTGATAATGTCTAATTTTCTTCATTTATGCTTGCCAATTTTCCTTTACTCTTCCCAAAATAGGCTGTCTTAACTAAAGACCCATTTGCCACTTTTGGTGGAAATAATTTTCCATTAGTTTATAAGAATATATGATTTAAGATTATATATGATGTCACAGATCTTCATTTTCTGCCTTGGTGAAAATAATAAAATAAGTTAAAAAAGTCCATGCTGGTTTTCTTGTGCCAGCTCATCTTTTAGTTTGAGTTTTGTCTTTAATGCCTGGTGAACCACTAAATCTATGGGAATCAGAGCCTGTTATTGCTTCTTGCCTTGGAGATCCCCACTGTACAATAAAGGATTTTTTTTTATCATTTGTTTAATTTTTGTGGTGAAATATATACAACGGAAATATTTGTCATTTCAACCATTTTATGTGTACCATTCGGTGAGATTAACTGTTGTTGGTGCTATCTTGTTAGCTCTGACTCCTAGTGATACCATGTATAACAGAATGAAACATCAATTACATGCTCCACAGTTTGCAGCCATCACCATGATCCATTTCCAAATATTTTCATTACTTGTAACAGAAACTCAATACCCCTTTAGCAATACTCCTCTACCTCCTCTTCACTTTCACCCCTGAAAACCACTAATAAACTTTTGTCTTTATGCATTTGCCTACTCTGGATATTTTATAAATGGGATCATACAATATTTGTCATTTTGTGTCTGACTTGTTGCTGAGTAAAATAAGAAAACATTTTCAGTAAGTAAAAAAAGTTCCACCATGAATTGGCTCTAAAAAGTAAGGGGATTCATTGGAGTACATAACTGAGAAATCTAGCTTTAAAGGAAAATTTGAGTTCCATTCAATCAGGACCCAAGTGTCCTTACTCTGGAATTCTGTTGTGTAATCTCTTTCACATGTATGTCTTATCACTCTGATAAAAAGGACCCATTGCCTTCCAGTCAATTGCAACTCATAGAGACACTAAAGGACTGAGCAGAACTGCCCCATAGGGTTTTCAAGGCTGTAAATCTTCATGGAAGTAGACTGCTTCATCTTTCTCCCATGGAAACACTGGTAGGTTTGAACCACCAGACCTTTTAGCTAGCAGCTGAGTACTTTAACCACTATACCACCAGGGCTCCTGTCTACCTCCCTACTGGCTTACATTTACAGCTCAAGACAGTTGCCTTCAGCAACTGGGGATACAATATCATAAAAAAGAATATATACACATTGTTTCCTAAATTTTAAAAGAAAAACCCAGAGATTCACTTTTTTTTTTTTTTTTAAGCAA